CGGATCACCTACTGAAACATGTTTTTAGTTGTAATGGCCACTCGTATTTATGAGGCCGTTTACACTTCCTCTGAAGTTGATTGATGACATTTCGACGGACATTGCTAAATTGAGACAAAAATCCGCTATTTACATTTTCAAAATATTTTTTGTGACGAACAAATAGTAATTAAATCAAATCGACCAAAATACTGCTTTAAAAAATTAAAGAAATAAATACATAATTAAAGAAATTTTATTATGATTTATTTTCTAGATTATAAATTTTCCCATGCTTTATCGATTTGATTTTGTAGAAGTCAACTATATTCGGCTATGCTCCACATTTCCAGAAACTTCGGCATTATTGAATAAAATATCATTTAGACTCGACAATTTTCAAAATACAGAAACACCTGTACCTATTTAAGTTGACAACTTTGTTGCTGTGGTTATGACTCGTTTTGTGCGTTCAATAAAGTTGAAAATATTTAAATTATTTTTGGTTGGTTTTAATGGTGTGACTAAACCGAAAAGCAAAAGCAAAGAAGAAACGAAAACGAAAAAAATACCATTGTCTATTTTGCGAAATACAAGGTTCACTTAAAATAACTCTTTAAAGTAAAATAAAAACCGAAAATTCCATTAAATGTTTTAATTAAAAAATCTTTAAAATGAATATTTGTTAATAAAACGGAATAGCTCATAAACACGATTACAAACTGACATACCAAGAGCAACTTTGTTGCTTTGAAGTTTCCTGCAAGATAAAGATTTTACTTGGCCCAAATGGTGAGTTGGGAAATTTAGTGAATGAATTTTGGAGGGAGAAACAAAACAAGTTTGCTTTTAAGTCTTTTGTTTCGATATTGTTTAGCTTCAGCAAAAAGAAGCATTAACATTGTTAGAATAATTCTTCTATTGTCTTCTTGAGCGGCTCCTCTTTTAATAGTTCAAAAACAATTAAATATGTTTTTTTTTTTGTTTTTGTTTTTTATACTCAGTCATTGCGTTATGAATATTGAAAATCACAAACCTTATGTCGCATCGAATTTCGCTGCAAAACAATAAACTCAATCAATTTATGTTTTTATTCAAATTAAACTAAATTGAGAAATTCTTGCGAGTATTTAGTAAATCCATTTTGACAGTTATAGTTCAGCTTGATTATTCTTTAGCATAAGTTATGGCCATAAATAATAGTTTTAATATTTATTTGAAAATCGTTTATAAGTTTGTCATCTCATAATGATTCTGTTCGAAATTTCACAAGTATTTCTTTGATGACATAACGACAAAGTCCGTGACCTTAATTCTGTGGGGTTTTTTATAGAATATTAAAGCCAGCATGTGCGGTCAAATTAAATGTTTGGTAGAACAATTTTATTGACATAATCCCAATCGCTAATTAATCTATGGAGGCAATGCTAAAAGTAAATAGTAGATTTTTGAAGAATCTAAAAAAATAAAATTGCGCTGAAGCTTTTTGAACATCCTCGTAAAATTAATCCACTTGCAGCCAAATTTACTCGGTAAAACAGCATTCGAATTATGAAACAAAAACTTAGAGCTTACATGTTTGGAATCAACTATTTGTCCAATTTTGAAATCTATCATCTGGCAAAATTGCTACTATTATTTTTATCATATACGCTATTAGGAAACCTCGGTGAGATATTGATGTCACGGTTTGCGAGATTTTTCGAAAAAAGTTTTGAAACTCCGAAAAACTTGTTTCATCCCAATAATATTATCAAACATAGTTCGATTGCGGAGAGGGGCAATATCGGTCCAATCCTTCTGGTACCTCCCCACAAAAGGTTTAAACATTTAAAGAAAATAATTTACTTCATAGAAAGAGAAAGGATCATCCGATTTGGTTCACACTTTCCAAATCCTAATATTTGTATCGAATAGCCCGTATGTAACGGTACCCCCCGATATTCGGTATTTTGATGACTTTAGCCACATTTTTTAACGGAATTGCCTGAAAGATCAGATCTGTCTTTTGTCTGCAGGCAGGTCAAGTTCGAAGATGGGCTATATCGGTCCACGATATCGTATAGCCTAACGGTACCCCCGATATTCGGTATTTTGATAATTTTAGCTACATTTTTTAACGGAATTGTCTGAAATTCTATACAATGAGTGCCGTGTGAGTATTTTGCCCCCTGAGCAATAAACGTCTTTATAGATCCACGATATGATTTTAGCCACATTTTTCAATGGAATTGTCTGAAATCCTACACAAGGAGTTCTTTTGGAGTACTTTACCCCCAGGCATAGATTTGTCTATATAGGTCCACAGTATCGAATATATATGGGAACCTTCCGATATTCGGTATTTTTAAGATTTTAACAGAATTTTCAATGGACTTTAGTTGTTTGAAAATTTCCTAATTTGTTCCAAAGGGTGGAAGGTTTTCAAAGTTCGGCCCGGCCGAACTTACTGCTTTTTTACTTGTTATTTTATAGATTCCTAAGTGCTAAATTTGAACTACATCGGTTTCTCCCATCGCTCAATATGAGATTTGTATTTTTTCGCCAAATGTTGACCTTTTATGGGGACACACATTAAGTGGCGGAACGATATTGCAAACCATCGAACTCGACTAAATTTGGAAAAAATATTACGACGTACCATGTTTGGACCAAATTGGATACGCCGATAGAGTACTAAATCGCATTTTGTCCAAATAGACCTAAGGTCTAACTTGTTACCAATCCTACCAATCATATGGTATAAATATCCTCTGGAGGATATCCACAGGATATATTTGAAAAAAAAAAATGTCGAAGAATCCGCAAAATATATTTTGAAATTGTCCTCGGATTTGTCCTCGAAAGCATAAGTAAGAGGGTTAATGTTTTAAGGGCTGAAAACTATCAGAAAATTTAAAAAAGTCCGTTTTAGCCACGAACATTTTGAACATGATTTTAAAAATATTAACGTTACAACTTTGAATGTCAGAATTATAGTTAAAATTGCTAGTGGAAAAAAATTCTCAAAAGTTTGCTTTGATCAATGTCTTATATTCCGCCTCAGAGTATTTTTTTCGAAAATCCTCATTTAAAATGTTTTTAATACTTGTTCAAATAAATAAATAAATCCATAGTATTAGTTTAGCCCAATTCCTAAATTTTCACAATTACAAATTTATTTATCTTCTGAAAAATATCTCTTTTCCTAATTTTACTTTTTATGGTTTTTTATATGGTTATGGCACAGCTAATTTACACTCAGGATAATTCCGTAAATATTCATGTGGATTTGTCTGAAATAGAGATACACCATTATCAATCTGTGAGCCCATAATCTCTCCACAATGAAGCCATTATAATCCTGATCAAGGACTCCTACTATACCCCCAATATTAATTAAAATTTAGCTTGATTTTAAAACTATCAATGCCTGAATTTTTCCTTGGACTTTCGTTCTTTTATGATTTATTTAATGTTTTTTTTTTTTTTTTTTTTTCTAGAAGTAAAGGTTCGTTTCTTAACTCTTTTGTTTTGCTACATATACATACAACAGATTTTAAAAATCACTTTCTTTGATGGATTACAACATGAATTATAACAAACATTATCTGTGATCTGAAAAAAGCCTGTCTCTCTCTATCTCTCTCTGTAATGACAAAGGAAACTCAAAATATCCAAACCTTTTATTTTCCAACTAAATTTTACTTCAAGCAATCCATCTCCCTTCATAGATGACAAATGCCAAAAAAAAACAAAAGCGGCAGATCCAAAAAACAAACCAAACCGACGAAGTCATTTTACGACCTTTTTCCTCTTCAGGTTTTTCGTTGCTGTTGTTGTGGCACGTGCTCGTGTTGCTTTTCTTTCAACATGTCGCGCATTTGATGTTGTGGCTTGTTTGTTCGAGCAGGGGGTTTTCTTTCGTCATTTCTTTTATTGTTCAACAATACTTGTTCGTTCATATGGATTTTGCTCCAATTTCCCAGCTAGATTACTTTATTTTATTTTGTTTTTTTTTTTTCGTTGTTTCATTGTAAGCTCAGTGGTTTCGTTATGAGCATTGTGTTGGACCGACTTGGGGTGAGGGACTTACCTATGAATGGTGATAGCCAGCCAGTCAGCCAGCGACACAACAACATAAAAAGTCATGTCGTCTTGGAATCTTTTTGTTTTTGGCATTTGTTTGTGTTGTTGCAGTTGCTGCAGTTGCTGTTGCGGTGTTCAAGAAATGTTTACAGATAACATGCCTCAGGTTACGTGTATGATTTTTATTGACATGATCGAAACAGCAGCCAACAACAGCGACAACATCGATAAACGGGCAATACAAAACCATGACAACCGCATTTTCTAGTGGCAATCTGGCTTTCGAGAGATCAAGCCTCAGATGTGGCCCGTTGTCCATTTTATTGTTGTTGCCGTTGTTGTTGTGGTCCATTTGGTGGTTTTTAGAAATGCATTTCTATGACATGTTGTAAAGCCATGTTTCAAAGCCTTTCTTTTCGCTGTTGTTGTTTTAGAGGAAATTTTTCTTGAAATAAAACAAAAACTCGTGTCATTATTGACCCCCTGCTCCATTGTGAGCCTGCCTTTAGTGAACAGTTAGTTGGATGTTTGACTCGCTGGCTGGCTGTTTGACTGACTGCATGGCTAGCCAGCCGCCCGACTATTCGTTACCGTTTTCAAACATATGTCAATTGGTAGCGATTAAGTTAAAATTGTTATTTGGCGTTTGAGTTTTTTTTCTCCCTCTCTCCGTATGCCTTAAGATGACATCTAACATGACAGGTACATTTGTTGTGTTAGGGTGGAAAGGGTACAAGTTGGATGGGGGAAATGTCAACAATATAATTTATATGAAAGCAAATTAAAAATCACAAATTTGTTTGGAATATTTTGATGGGCAAATGTCCAAGTGGCAGACCCCTTGAATGTACCATCCCTTATTCCTAGTGTATATTCCCTATTTTTTAATAAAACAATATTTAATAAATACAAAATGAAAATATTCAAATATTTTATTTTATTTTCTCTTGCAGTTCTGGGCCTCCGACAAAGAACACACATCAACCATATTCGAGGATTTGGATCGTTATTGTTGGCAACAGCAACAAACCAATACCAGCACAGCAACTGGTGCCTCATCACTAGTTGGCGTACCCAATGCCAGTACACCCAATGCGGCCAGTAGCAGAAACAACAATAACAACACCGCAAACAATAACTCCTCTAACCAAATGCACCATACATCCTCATCACCTGCCACAACAACACTAAATCCCCTACACACCAGTCTTGTCAATCCCACGTCACCGCACAATCATCACTCGCCCATGACCCCGGTTAGTACCACGCCCACGGCATCAACGTCCTTGCCCACAACGCCAGTGTCACAGACTCAGCTAAACAGCGACGGTACCATATCGAACATTATCAGTACGGATGGTCAAATTTATACGTTAACAGTATTAAATGGCAATGAGCCATGGTTAAAACGTGAAAACGATACCAGCCATTTACAGAATAGTCTGGATTTCGATAGCCTTTTGGGTAGTTTTCCTGGCTATATTAAATCGGAATATCCCTATGACGATAGTGGTTTTAGTACCGATGGTTGTAAGGATTTGAATGGGGATGCGGGGAGCATGATGGCGGGGAATAATCAACGTTTGCCCTCCTTGATCAATACCATATCGTCGGTGACCAGTACGGCTGGGGTTGACGGTTCTGTGGCACCATTAAATGTTGGCCAGCAGTTGGATCAGTTTCACAATAACAACAATGATTGGCACATGACAGATCATAACAATGAACAGGTAAGTAATAATAGATTTTGTAAGTTTGAATTTCAAAAAATTATAATTTATCAAAACATACTTCTCAAAATATTGAAAATTTAAATCAAGTTTTTATTGCCTTTCTCAATTTTCTTATATCAGTTGTTTTTTTCTATTTCTGTTTTTTTTTTTTATAGAATTCTGCCGAATCTTTGCTTCGTAGTGCCCTCCAAGGTAAAGGTTATACCAAAGGTATGCATATGCACAATGGCATTGCATTAATGCCCTCATCAATATCGGTCAAAGAAGAAGATATGCGGAGAATATTGTTTCCAGTTGATACGGTAAGTTTGGTTATACGCAAAGGGCATGTGTGTGGTGTATACTTTTAGGCTTGCTTTTTGTGACCACGTCTCACTGCAATTCAAATTTAGTGAGTCTTTCTCTTAATACGAGTACGTAAATGGACAGATTAGAAGTTATGAACAAAATACAAGTGCTTTGAACTATTAAATGAACAATTACATATTTATTGTAATTCAAGTATGGTGTATACTTTCAGGCAACATAATATTAAAACACGTCATACGGACTTAAGTTAATGACTTTATTGAGGCATAAAATGACCGATGTCTAATTATTTATTAAATAACACAGTCTGAAAAATGGTTTCCGCTATTACAGGAAAAACTATTTAGATTATGAAAGTGGAGCTAAAATTAGATGATACGTATATAGGCATTTTTAAAGTTAATTTCCAAAGATAACCTTAATAGAGGGGAAGATTTCACCTTCTAACTCATTTGGAATTTTCGGATGAAGATTCCTTAGAATCCTTGTATTGTCTTCGGCAATTTTACTGATAACAATACGAGCATTACTTTAGTTGAAAATTACCCTCAAGGGAGTGCAAAAGGAGTTTTTTGGTCCTTTTTTCAATATATGGCTAAAAGTTCCGTTTAAAAAATACTACACAAAATCATAAAATTCTACCATTGGCCCCAAAACACATCAAAAGTCTAAATCCTATCTAAAGGGTAGAAGTTCATAAGCAATTAAAAACACATCCTAGTCATACTTAACGTGTGTTTATGCAAAATTCTCCTACAAAAAATAACTTTGTGAGGAGGTTGTCAAAGATAAAATTATTCTACATTAAATGTCGGCATATTGGCCAAAAAAAAAATAAGTCTCTGTTTAATTAATATATCAAGAAAATATATGCATCAGTATTGCCAAAGAAAAAAATCTTAGATATTTTCTAATTTTTTTTATCAATTTTCTTTGTCCTTTTTTTCGAAATGATGCATGAAAGTCACATAATATTTCGTTTTAATTTAAAAGTGTCAAAGAAAGAAAAATAATTTACCTAATTTTCTTTAACTCTCAGAATAAATATATATCTAAGCTCAATATTTGTTAAGAACTTTTCGTTCGAATTTTATTCCTTAAAAAGCGAAAATAATGTGTAAAGTGCATAGTATATTAATAATACTCACTTTTTTGGGGAAAGTGCCAAGGGCGAGGAAAGATTGATAAAAAAAATTAGGAAATATTTTAATTTCTTACGCAACATTTATTATATAATATTATCTTCACATATACAGGGTGAGATGAAAAAACATACAACTTCAGACTGCTGTCATTTCCAAGCCACTCGTACGACAGCTGTTAAAATTATTCCAATGACAGCTCATTATTTTGTTTACAAGCGTACAAAAGCATTTTAGTGAGAACTTTCCAGAAAAAAAAGGTCTTCGTGATGGAATTTAAGCGTGATAGTGTGATTTCTTTATATTTGGCTGGAAAACCACAAGTGGCTATCGTAAGATCACTCCAGCATATAAATGTCAATAATTCTTTTGTGTCTCGTACCATCGCTCGTTAACATGATACTGGTAGAGTAAACCGACGTAAAGGAAGTGGACGGAAGAAAGCAGCAACATCATGAGAAATGGTTCGAAAACTAAAAAAGCGACTTGATCGAAACCCGCGTCGCAGTGGCCGAAAAATGGCTCGTGAGCTGAACATATCGCAATATCCATTTGACAAATATTGAAATATGGGCCCGACGTAAAGACATTGAAATTCCAAAAAGTGCAAGAACTTACACCGCCACAGAAAGAAAATAGACTCAAAAGAGCTAAAGAGTTGCTTCGCTTGGTCGAAAGTGGTGAACTACCGTGACATCAGAATAAATGCCGAATATTATTGCGAAAATATTCTAGAGGGTGTATTAAAGCCTTGGGTACGCAAACATTTTGGCCGCAGACCTTGGACATTCCAACAGGACTCGGCACCAGCGCTCTCAGCACGCGCCACCCAAGAATGGTTGCAAAATAAGGTTCCTCTCTTAATTTCCAGCGCACAATGATCACCAAAATCTCCGGAAACCGAACCGTTGGACATTGTGTCTGGTGTATTTTGGAAATCAAGGTTGGCACTAAAAAATACCAAAGTGTCGATAACCTCAAGCAAGCGCTTCGCCGAGAATGGGCCAAAATACCGCAGAGCAACATTCGGGCAGTGTGTGACGGTTTCATTGGCCGTTTGAAGGCAATAATTTGTGCCAAAGGTGACCAATTCGAAAAAATATAAACTTATTCAAAAATTTGATGCTATATCCGACATTTTTTGCTTTCATTCAATAAAAGTTAAAAAAAAATGTAAAAATTATGCAGTTTGACTTTGTTGTAATTTTTTTATATCACCCTGTATAAATCTGATCAGCGTAACATTCTAAATCGATTAAGCCCTGTCCGGCCGTCGTCTAGTGTAATCACTCTACAGTCCAATTGAATTAAGATAGGTAGCTACAATGTTGCACAGATCTGTCTTTTGTCTACTGGCAGGACAAGTTTGAAGGTGGTTTTATCGGTCCATGATATCCCGCATATAAAGCTACCCCCCTCCCCCCATAATCGGTATTTTTATGATTTTAGCAATTTTTCAATGGAATTGTCTGAAAATCCTCACAAGGAGTTCTTTCGGAGTACTTTATTCCCTAGAAGAGAATTGTCTATATCGGTCCACGATATCGTAAACCTCCATATAACAGTACCCCCAGATATTCGGTACTTTCCTGATTTTTGCGACATTATTCACCGGAATTGTTTTAAATTTCGAATATAAAGTTGGCAACAGTTACTACAGCCTCTGACACTAATTACGTCTTCATAAAGCCCCCATATAACGGTTTTCATTTGAGCGGAATTTTCCTACGGAATTTATTTGAAATATTAGAACTCTTTTTTTACTTGTTTCTCTTGTTTTTTATTCACTGGCTGATGTAGTCGGCAAGCACGGATGTAATCAGTGCTTTGAAGTGAGATTCACTCTTGGATCGAATTCAATCCTACGAGTTGAAACAAATAAAAAAGAAGCTTAGCTCGGCCGGGTCGAAAATTTAATAACACCCAACATTTGGAAGGAAATTGCAAAATGTAAAAAGATACAGTTAGGTGGACCTTTATGGCCCATTTTCTGTAAAAAATCGCTATTCAATTCGATATATTCCTAATTTTTTATGCATTTGATTGTGACTTACAATATTACCATAACCAAGGATATTGCCTAAAAGTATGGCATTTATTGTAAATTTGAAAACATGATGCATATCCTCAATGTATATTCTAATAATTCCAATTTATTGCTGTTTTCATGTGAATCTAATGAATCTAATTGTTTTCTTAAAAAAGACATTGCCTAAAAGTATGCACCATACGCACGTAATGTTTAAACATTTAAATAGAACATTTCTATGAAATACCCCTTTCCCTCATGACTATTTTCACAAGTTTTCCCTAATTTACCACGGCATTTGTATTCCATTAACAAAAAAAAAACTTTCGTGATTTTTTATTTAATTTTAAAGACCACACACTTGCATCCAATCTAATCAAGAAACCACATTTAATTTGATTTTTATCTTTTGCTTATCATAATCAACATTTAAGATAAACTCAGAGTTTATTGCAATTTCAAAATTTCTCTGTTTTCTTTTTGTCTCTTTCCATTTTCCCCCCATTTAGGATGGTTTAAATTTCTCCGATACTTCTTTGAGTGCGGCACAGATTTTCGATGATACTCAAACGGCCAACGGTCACAATCCACATATGATTGTGCCGCACTCACCGGTCACCAATGGTCCACTCACGCCAGTCACAAATGCAAATGGCAATAACAATAATAACGCCAGCAACAACAACAACAGTGCCAACAGCAATAACAATAATAATAATAGCGGTAACAGCAATAACAATAATCAAACGAGCAATATGATGGTCGACGATATGTTCCTAACGTTGGAGAATGCATTCAGCGATGATTTCGAGAAAATCAAACAATTCTGCACCACCGCCACGGCAAATGATTATCATGCAAATGAGGTGATGATGCAACTTTCGCCCAGTGTCACAGGTGGTGGTGGTGGTGGCGGTGTTGTGACGCCAACAACAGGTCCATCGGGAATGGCAGCGATGTCAGTGGCAACACAGCAACAACAAATGCAGGCACTACATACCGGGGCAACAACACCAAATAATGGTCTCCCAGCACAAATGTCACTGCAACAGCCGCAGCCACCACCACCTCAGCCATTGAAACCGGAAGTGACAACTTCAAGTCAACGCATGGTCTCCACGGCGAAAGTTACCAAGAAATATAAACGAACATTATCGACACACAGTAATAACAGCAGCAGCAATAACAACAACAATAATCCTAATGTCATTAATCACAATAACATAATTAACAACGCCAACAACAACAATAATGGTTCAAGTAATTTAAACACTTCTAACAAGGGTTCCAGTAATTTGGCCCTTACAAATGGCAACCGCAATGGTTCAGCCTCAAGTGGCAGCAGTACAACCAGCAGTAATAGCCCCACCCATTGCAATGGTGGCCTAGGGGTTGGTGGTAATTCATCTACGACGGGAACAAATGCCTCTTCATCGTCCAGTGGCAGTGGTGGCCAACGCAAAGAACGTTCTCTGCATTATTGTTCGATATGTTCGAAGGGTTTCAAGGACAAATATTCTGTGAATGTTCACATACGCACTCACACGGGTGAGAAACCCTTTGCCTGTACACTGTGTGGCAAAAGTTTTCGCCAAAAAGCCCATTTGGCCAAACATTATCAGACTCATATGGCCCAAAAGAATAATGGCAATTTAGTTAAGGGTAACTCAAATAAACATCATCGTGCATCGGCATCAGCAGCGGCGGCGGCTGCTGCAGCAGCTGCAGCTCAACAGCAGCAACAACAACAGCAGCATCAGCAACAACAAAACTTAAATTCTCCAAATGTCATGCAAAATCATGTGCGTCCACTCAATTCCGCCTCTTCAGCTCCCACAACACCCACAATGAGCCATCACCATGGCATGGGTGGTTTAGTCAATGGCCTCTTGACCACTTCAACGGCTTTGGCTTTGGGTGTGGCACCACCACCCGCACCGTCTTCGGTACCAACCACACCCACAACCCCCAACACGATACTACCGCCGGCCAATGGCCTACTGGCCAACAGGTAGAAACTGCCCCTCACTCTCTCTCCCAAATAAGCCTTATCAGAGCTAAAACAATATTTTTCATTTGAAAATATTCTTTATTTGTTAATTTTATTTAACCTAATCTTCATTTGTTCCTAATTCTTATTACGCTCTTCCTTTTTTTTATTAAACGAAAACTGCTATTTTTATATGTTTTTTATTTGCTATTTACATTTAGTTTATTTTTGTGTTTAGTGTAAAGTGAAAAAAAAATGAAAATCGCAACCACAAGAGCTATCCTCAAAGGATCGCTTTTGTAACTACTACCTGTACTTGGAAATACTCAAAAGAAAAAAAAGGAAATTAAAAAATGCTGTCCATATTCAAGTAGTTTCTTAACGAATTTATTATACTTTTACTCCTGTACTTTAAGTATCTATTTATTTATTATTTTGTTTAGTATTCGTTCTCTATTTGTGTATATTCTTGTTTTTGTTTTATTGTTTATAAAATCCTATTTCTGTATAAATATTGAGAAGCGGCGAACTTGACGTTTGTCTTGTTTTGAAATCTTATTTTCCTAAGAGATAAATTGAGAGATTTGAAGTGGTTCATATTTTATTGGATGAAAATACTTGCATACCCTTTGCAGAGATATACATTAGGTATTATTTACCCAAAGTGACATACACGTGGGACGTACCCACATGCGACACGGATCCGATATTTCTCACACATTTCTCGAGAAAATATTTATTTTATCAAGCACTAAAATGATAAAGTCTGATTTGACTAAATATGTGATATCCCACACCAATATTTCTGGGCACGGCCATGCCTCTTTTGGAAAAATGTTATCCCTGCAGGATGGACATAGATGCTATAAAAACTGTAAAAATTTAAAAATCCCAAGGTACAATTTTTGAGCATAACCAGGGCTGTCATAGAAACCAATTTTGTCACTATTGGTTTTAAAAACGACAAGAAAAAATGCTTTGGTGTCATGAAAATCAATGTTATCGGGTTTATTTTCGAATTAGAATTTTATCGGTTTTGGTTGTCATAGAAGCCAATGTTATTGGTTTTGTTATTGGAAATAAACCAAGTTGCTTAGAGCTGTCACTTTTCATTTTCTTTGGATTTTTTAAACAATTTTTAAAGGATATTCAAAGGACTAAAAATGTGAATTTTTTAAACAAATTTTAAGGGATATTCAAAGGACTAAAAATGTGGATTTTTAAAACAATTTTTAAGGGTTATTCAAAGGACTAAAATGTGGATTTTTAAACAATTTTTAAAGGATATTCAAAGGACTAAAAATGTGGATATTTTTAAAGAATTTTTAAAGGACATTAAACGTGGATTTTTTAAAGAATTTTTAAAGGACTATAAACGTGGATTTTTAAAAAAGATTTTAAAGGACTACAGACGTGGATTTTTTAAAGTATTTTTAAAGGACTGTAAACGTGGATTTTTTAAAAAGATTTTAAAGGACTATAGACGTGGATTTTTTAAAGAATTTTTAAAGGACTATAAACGTGGATTTTTAAAAAAGATTTTAAAGGACTATAGACGTGGATTTTTTAAAGAATTTTTAAAGGACTATGGACGTGGATTTTTTAAAGGATTTTTAAAGGACTATAGACGTGGATTTTTTAAAGAATTTTTAAAGGACTATAGACGTGGATTTTTTAAGAAATTTTTAAAGGACTATAGACGTGGATTTTTTAAGAAATTTTTAAAGGACTATAGACGTGGATTTTTAAGAAATTTTTAAAGGACTATAGACGTGGATTTTTTAAGAAATTTTTAAAGGACTATAGACGTGGATTTTTTAAGAAATTTTTAAAGGACTATAGACGTGGATTTTTTAAGAAATTTTTAAAGGGCTATAGACGTGGATTTTTTAAGAAATTTTTAAAGGACTATAGACGTGGATTTTTTAAGAAATTTTTAAAGGACTATAGACGTGGATTTTTTAAGAAATTTTTAAAGGACTATAGACGTGGATTTTTTAAGAAATTTTTAAAGGACTATAGGCGTGTATTTTTTTTATGAAATTTTTAAAGGACTATAGACGTGGATTTTTTAAGAAATTTTTAAAGGACTATAGACGTGGATTTTTTAAGAAATTTTTAAAGGGCTATAGACGTGGATTTTTTAAGAAATTTTTAAAGGACTATAGACGGGGATTTTTTAAGAAATTTTTAAAGGACTATAGACGTGGATTTTTTAAGAAATTTTTAAAGGACTATAGACGTGGATTTTTTAAGAAATTTTTAAAGGACTATAGACGGGGATTTTTTAAGAAATTTTTAAAGGACTTTAAAAAAATTATAAAATTATAAAAGGACTTAAAAAACTCCTTTAAAAATGTTGCTTAGAGGTGGGAGTACATAAAAGGCTTTTTCTGGCTGGCTTAAGTCATCGGCTGGATTCCATTTCCAAAAGAGGCATGGCCGGCATGTCCAGAAATATTAGTGTGGGACATCACATATTTAGTCATATCAGACTTAAGTAATTATAAAGGTCCAAGCACATAAAGAGCTTTTTGACTGACTTATGAATTCTCACCTTAATACAGAATATTGAGAGGTACCGTTTCATTTGAGCTTTAGAAAATATGCTACCTAAATGTTAGGTACTTACATATTGCGAACTTCAAATACCAAGCTCAAGACAATTTATTATTGATACTCTCCACCATAGTATGGAGGGTATATTAAGATTGTTATTAGGTTTGTAACACCTCGAAATATACATTTTAGACCCCAAAAAGTATATATATATTCTTGATCAGCAAACAATTATGTGTCGATGTCCGTCCGTCAGTTCGTCTATCCGTCTGTGGAAATCACTCTAGCTTCCGAACGGAATGAAGTAGGTTGATAAAATTGTACTCAAATATTATGTCTGCAGGACTTTTGGTATTGAAAGTGGGTGATGTCCACGTTTTGCTAAGGCCCCATATAATGGTTCCTCCCGATATTCGGTATTTTGATGATTTTAGCGATATTATTCACCGGAATTGTTTCAAATTTGGTACTTGGAGTTCGTAATGGGTACCACAGCCTAGGGCAGGAAATTGTTTGTGCAGCTCCACGTCTTCAAATAGCCCCCATATAAAGTTACCTCCCGATATTCGGTATTTTGATGATTTTAGCGACATTATTCACCGGATTTTTTTCCAATTTGGTATTTGGAGTTCGTAATGGGTACTACAGTCTATGGCAGAAAATTGTCTGTGCAGGTCCACGACTTCAAATAACACTAATATAACGTTACCTCCTTATATTCGGCATGTTGATGATTTTAGCGACATTATTCAAAGGAAATGTTTCAAATTTGGTATGACAGAAAATTGTTTGTGCAGGTGCACGTCTTCGTATAGCCCCAATGTAACGGTACCTCCCTATATTCGAAAATTTGATAATTTAAGCTACATTATTCACCGATTTTTTTTATTTTATTCTTATGAGAAAAGTTGCCTATGCAGGTCCACGTCGTCGTATAGACCCTAATATACGGCTACATTCGGTATTTTTAAGATTTTAACAGAATCTTTAACTGATTTTATTATTTTTTTTTAAATTTTCCAAATTTGTTCCAAATGGTGGAGGGTATTCAAGGGCCGAACTTACGGAGAGGTAAGTTCGGTATATACCCCTACAGAGGGTATATATAATTTGATACGGCCAAAACGTGCTTAGTCGAAATAACGGTTTTAGACCCTAGGTCACTTTGGACCAAATCCGTTTCAGGACTTTTAGAGTTGACCTATCGATGTCCGTCCGCCTGTCTGTCTGGCTGGCTGGTGCGCACGATAACTCTCGAAGGGAGTATCCGATTTGATCCAAACTTGGTACATCGTAATATTTTTGTCAAACTTAGATCGAGTTCGGAGATGGACAATATCGGTCCACTCCTTCTGGTACCTCTTACACAAAATGTCAACATTTTCAAAGAAAATACTTTTCTACACAGAAAGAAATAGGATAATCCAATTTTGCGAATCCAAATATTTTCATCAGTGCTAGGTCAGATGCGAAAATGGACAATATCGATCCGCTCCATCAAGTACCTCCCACACAAAAGGTTAAAATATTGAATAATTATAACTCTTATAAAATGTGATATAAGAGTCCGATTGTCTTCAAATTACGCAAATCAAAATATTTTCATTAATTCAATGCCTGGTTTTAAGATGGAATATTTGGTCCACTCCTTCTGGTGCCTCCTCCACAATGGGTTAAACTTTTTAATATTCATGAAGCTCAAAAAACACGAAATAAACATCCAATTACAACTAGACTTGGTATATCTCAATATTTCTATCAACACAATATATATTATAAAGATGGTAGAGATCGCACCATTCCTTCTGGTAACTCTCCCACAAAGGATCAACGTTTTAAATAACCAAAGCGATCATAAAATCAGAAATAAGCGACTTGTTCTGTTTATACACCTATTTTTATTAATCGGTGTGAAATGGGATATATCGGTCCACTCCTTCTGGTACCTCCCCCTAAAGGGTCAAAATTTTGAATATTCAAGAAGCTCATATAACGCGAAATTTGTATCCGATTTTATTCGATCTTGGGACATCTCAATATTTCCATCAACACAAGATCTCTTGTAAAGATGATAGAGAACGGGCCAGTTCTTCCTGGTACTTTTCACACATCCAAATATTTTCGCTAACGCCAGATCTGTTGCGAAGATGATATATATCTCCCAACCCCTTCTGGTAACTCACCCACAAAAGGTCACAATTTCCAATACTTATATCTATCATAACTGTCATAACAAATCGGCGATTCTTTACTACTTGTTATATTTAAATATTTCTCTTAACCAGAAATCTGATATGAATAAGTAATTTATCGAAATTTATGATTTCGCATGAAATTGGATAAATGTTCGATTACCTTCAAACTTTGCACATATTTCTATGTGTATTGTATGAAGTATGAAAATGGAATACTTCGGTCCACTATATCTGTTACCTCACGTATATTTCCGCATTTTCCAAAAATTTGCACATATCTCATATAAAGTATGGGAATTAGTCGATATAGTTAAAATCTGGCACACTATAATATTTTTATCAGGCTTAGGTCAGATACGAATTGGAAATATCGGCCAACTTCTTCGGAACTTCCTCCATAAAGGGTCAACAGTTTGAATATTCATAACTCAAGGCTGGGGGTATAGATCTGTAGGCAAAACCGACTGATACTATTTTACTTGTTTCATTACCACTTTGTTGAAAATAAGTATTTTTTAAAAGTCAAACTTTCTAAAAAATCCTTTTTTTCTTCATATTTTTTAATTTTCGATATGCCTTCAAAGAATAAGGGCTTATATATGGACTGATATATTTTACTGAGAAAAGATCCAGGATTTTTTCCAGAAAATTTTCAATATTGATCCTTTTGTCCTTCCTAATTAAAGTGTATGTAGCCACTTTTTATGACCGCCCTTGCTTCAAGTTTCTCAATTTATCTTTAATAAAAAAAACTCCAAACAACCTATCACTTCAACTAAAAACATCTCAAAGTCTTATATTCTTAAAAACTAAGTTAATAAACCTTATGTAAGCCGATATAATAAAAAAATGTGCCAAATGAAAAAAAAATAAGAAACAAATCGAAAAACACAAAATGCTGCGAAAAAAATCCGTTAAAGTGATAACAAAGCCTTGAACTAAAAAAAATGTAAAACTAAAACTACTGTTTGTAAAACCATTTTAATCGAATGGAAAACAAGAACAACAAGTATTGTAACATAAACAAATAAAACTCATTTGTAAAAAAAAAAAACAACAAAAAATAATCAAACAGAAAATATGTATAAAAAATTCTTTTATAACTAATTTTGTAAATTAATGAAAGGATGAAAAGATGAAAAAAGCAAAACTAGAAATAACTTGCCATTTTTTTAAAATTTTTTTTGTTTAAATAGTAGAATCATATCACAAAATGTGTTCGTGTTCAACGAAACACTGTTACATAGTTAAAATCTTCTGCGCTTCTCCGGTAACATTCTTCGACTAATTGTTAGACATAGTTCGTTCATCTGCCACAATCTTGAATTTATGTGGCCAGTTTCATGGGAAAATAATGCCAAGTATTTTTTGCTTTTCTTTAAGTTTTTTTTTTTTTTTTTAACTGCCAGTTATCTTTGTTCATTGTATTTGTTTATAGAGATTATTTCGATGAGAACAAAAAAATAAACAACAATCGAAATAAAGTGAACCATGTGTGATCTTCTTTTATTTTTTAATCGTTTTTTTTTTCTTCTGTCTTCCAAATGATGTGCACAAATATTTTCTCTCTCATTCCCAAACTCCTCGAATGCCTAGTAATTAGACCATTGAAATTGTTTTCTTACAGCTAATTGTTAAGTGAAATTATTTAAATTTATTGTAATTTGTATAAGCATTTGTACGATTAATGAAATTTATTTTTTTTTTCTTTTGTAAATTAGTGAAAATAATTTAAAATAAATGATAAGTTATTAAATCAATATATTCTCAAACTTTTTATATTACCATAGTTAAATATATTTAATAAAAAATTCACAAATTTGTTAAAAATTAATCAAAAATAAAGCGAATATTTTTTATTTAAAAAAAGTTTTAATTTTCTTTTTTCGAAGTAATAAAAACGCCTTGATCAACTGTAAGTATGCATTCACATTTTGGGACTATAAATAAATCTGAAAACAAGT